TTAATATCTGGCATTGTTTCCCTTTGGCCTTAAGAACTTTTTAAAACAATGTTTATTGTGGAGCAAGTTACCATGGGTGATAAATTTATTCACATCTTGTATGTCTAAAAAATATTTCATCTTTAGTTTTGAAAGGTATTTGGGTGATATTAAATTCTAGGCTTACAATATTTATTGGTTAGTATTTTAAAATATTGTTCCACTGTCTTTTTCTTAAATGCTTTCTGAGTAGCTATTGGTGATTATCCTTACAGTTATTCTTCTGTATGCATTGTGTCTTTTTTTCTTCTCAGACTTTAAGATTTCTTTTCTATGTTATTTATTTCTAAACAGCTGTTTTGAGAAATAAGATTAAAATACGCCTTGGGGGTAGTTTCCTTTCGGGTTTTTTTAGGTTTAGCATTTGCTGAATTTGTAGCTTTATTTTTATTCACCTTGGAAAATTTTTAGTCATAATTTCATCAAATCATTTATTTCTGTCTCTTTTCCCTGCTTTACATGAACACTCTTTTACACTATTTTGGAATCTCTCTCTCTCTCTCTCTCTCTCTCTCTCTCTCTCTCTCTCTCTCTCTCTCTCTGTCACCTTTTGATTTTCCTGCCACAGCTTTCCTAAGTACTAAGATTATATTGAAGCACCACCGTGTCATGGTGGGTGCTTTAACCATACATATGTTAGACTATTTAAAGTCGCCCCCAAGTTTCCTGATGCCTTTTTCATGGCTTTGTTATGTTTTGCCTCTGTTTCATTGTGATCACTTTCTAGTTCTGTGTTCATGTTTACTAATACTTTCTTCTGCAATGTCCAATCTATTATGAATCCCAAGCAGTTTATTTAGCATCTCAGATATTATTTATTAGATACATTCTCAGATATTTTTCATCTCTAGAAGCTCTGGTTTGGTCTGTTTGAAGCTCCCATGTCTAGATTTAACTTTTAGACTATATGAAACAATCATATGGGCCCTGTTTAGTATATATGTTCTTCTCTGATTAGATTAGATTCACAACATTGTACATTTTACCTTGTTGGATAATGAATATTCATGCATATATATATATATATATAGTTTCAGTTTATGCTTTCATTTGAGGATGTAGTTAAGTTACTTGGAAACAGTTTTGATTCTTTTGAATCTTGTTTTCAAGATTTGCTATGTAGGACCAAAATCACTTTTATTAAGGTTGTTATGACTTGATTTCAAGTGTTTCCCAAAATGTATGTAGAGATGGGGCTTGGCTCATAGCGCCACTAAATTTCTCAGTGTATTAATCCAGCATAGCCAGTGGTGCTGAACCTTTCATGTGTCATGATATATATATAAAGAGATCTATAAATTAGGCACAGTAGAAGCAGAACAATTATTACAATATACTATAATAAAAATTATGTAAATCATCTCTCTGAAAATCTCCCATTGTTACTATGTTTTCAGATGCAGTGGGCATAGGTAACTGAAATCACAGGAAAAAAACTCACGAATAAGGAGCTACTACTTCAGTAGTCATTATGTGTGCATGGCTAGTGTTTCTGTAGCATTGAATTTGAAACTTAATTTAAAATTTAAAATTCAAAATGTTTAGAGAAAATGCTTAGAAAGATCTAGCAATCTTCAACAACAATTGTCCCTGGAGACAGGCAGCTCCAAGGTTAAGTCCTTATTCCTCCCTTTTCCTCCACCCCTCTGGAAAAGGGAAACCTAATAGTCATCCGAAATATATTTTTTATAATAGAGCTACTCTGATTTTCTTACCCACTCACAAGACCCTCCAACTCCTTATCCCTTTGGGCCTACTTTTTTTTTTATCATTATGAGTTCTGAGTCCCTCACAATAAGAGAGGGAACCTCAGAAAATGTTAAAAATAGATGTCTCAAATGGAAGTATCCAGAAGGCTGGAGGTGTAGCTCAGTAGTAGAGTTCTTGCCTGGCATTCAAAAGATGCTGGGGTCCTGTGGGGAAAAAGGAATCCTTCTCCACTGCTGGTGGGAGTGTA